TATGAAGAAAAAGAATTTTTTTAAGAGCTTTCAAATCCTGAATTCAGTAAAATCATGAAAATAAAATTGTTTTCCAAAGAGCTGTTTGATGAACTGACTGTGCAGCTGCAGGCTTGTTTTGCTTTGGTGTAAGTGCAGTGCAATCTCAACATAGTGTTCCATAAATATATTGAAGGTTAGAATATTTTTACAAGTCTGAATGAAATTCATTCTCTGCAAGCAGTATTTCAACCAGCAATATGAGAATATAGTTTCAATATAAAAATCTCTGAAAGTGCGTTCCAGGTCCTTAGTGGCGTTGTGAAGCCTGTACCTTTTGCCGTAAGCAGCATTTCAGATGCAAGGGTTTGGTCTGTGGTGTATCAGGATGCTTGGGACCTCGGCTGCATATCTTCTTCCGCAAACAGGCAGCGGAATATAAGAAGAAATTTCAAACATTATCTCTTCTAAAATGTGAGGAATGCTATTTAAAAACTCACCTCCATCGTCCATGTGTTTAATCTGTAGACCAGATGAAGCTATAAGTAGCACTTTGGAGTGACTGAAACCATATCCTTACAATGAAAGATTATTTGAAAATATTTAAATGCCCCAATTCCCTTACTAAATACGGTAGAATAGTTAGCAATTCATTGAAATTAAAGGCCTGGTTTTGTATTATGTAAATATACTCAGAAAAGGAAATACTGTAAAAGAAAACAAGCAATATTATGCTTACAAAAACATTCATTGTTTGGGCATGCATTCTGGAAACTGGTATCATGGCCAGGCTACTAAATAAAAATAATGTCAAATACATTGTCTACGTACTGGGTTAAAATGTACATAGTTTTCAGAGCACTGGCATAACAACACAAATGTTTGAAATAATTTTTTTTTTTGTATTTTGAGGGGGCATCTGGCTTTTTTCTGAATATTACAGGCAACTAGCCAGAGAGAAATAAGTGAGAACTGCACACATAATGTTGGATCTGTTACCTCTGAGTAATGACATGTGTGATCCATGAGTCGCTCATTGCAAACCAACAGTCATTCTGTGAGTCAAAATTTAGACAGACTTCAGACAGATGAGCCACATGCGCCGTGCTCGGCTGTGGTACTTTGGCATAAGCTGACGGCAGCGGCAGAAATCACAGGCCATGTGAACTTATGCTGAATGCCTTACTGAACTCAAGTGGCAGGTCTGAGCATGTCCAGAGAGTGCAGGACGGAAGGTCAGCAGTCCGGGGCTTCTCTTTCTCCATGAAGTGGTGCTGAACGTGAAAAAGAGTTTTGATAAGGAAAAGACCGAGTACTTGCTAGGCAGAGGTAGAGCTCCATATCTTTGTTGGCCACAGAGCCATGATGCAGGACCAATGTTGCTACTGCAGCCTAGGATTGTCATAGCCATCGTAGATTCCCTTCCTCTAAAATCCTGACAAATGCTTAGAGCCAAAACTGGTTTCCAGTGCTTGGCCTTGGGGATGGAAGAGAATTTTGTCCATAAAGTAGAAATATCCAAATAGCATAGAATAATTTTAAACAAAATTTTTGTCGTATTTTTCTGTGCTACTGCTTGCTAATTGTGAGAGCTTCTGTCCAAATCTGTCGTTTCCATATTCATAAAATGAAGAGATATGTTTTTCGCAGTTGCTTTTACACCAACACATGATGAAGTTAGATAAGACTTCACTGCAGAATAAAGCAAAATGAGGCTCAAGATAAGTGAAAGGAAGTCTAATCTTCATCGGAAAAGTGATGGAAGTGTCTGGGTTATTGACTGTAATGGAAATAAGGTCTGGAGGTCTAATCTAAAATTTTGTAAGACTGTCCAAAATAGTATACAGAAAGACATGGGAAAAATACAGTTAAAAGGGTGATTGCTATGTGCTTAAAATCCTCTCTTGTTCACATTTGCCCTTGTATGGAATTCCCCTCCATCAGGACACCTTACTCTATCCTATTTATCTTCACAAAACAAAGTAAAAAATAGAATCTTCAAGAGTAAATCTTACTGTGAATTGCTCCAAAATGAGGTATATTTTAGGCTTTGAAATGTCCTTCATAACTGGTAGGGTGATTAAGGTGTTCCTCTAGCTCACCTTTCAGATACTGAGATGTAATACTTTCCTGAAGTTTTACTGTATACAGTAGTTAAATCTGGCAAAAGTTGATCCAGCACTTATGTAGCTTAGTGCTGTTCTGTTTGGGAAAAATGAAATATATGTAGACAAAGGACAGACTTTGCCAGGAATAAATGACATATTAGATTCAGGAAATTCCTATGTGTAAAACTGGGAGTATTCCCTGCTGCAATATATCTGTAAAAATTCTTCTTGTGATTATAATGCTAAAATGAGTACTATATTATGTTCATTTTATTTCTCTCTTGCTGGTGATCAGATGAATAATTTACCCCTAATGTTAATCATCCATCAGACTGTGAATTTGCACTCTGGGAAGGTGATGTACAAGACAGAATACTGTAATTCTTGCCATGCTTGTTTTCTAACATATTTAACAGTTTTGATAGTGTTAAACCTTAAGCAATTAGAGCAAACCTGCAAAGCTGTATATTTTTGCTTCCTGGCTCATAATTTTTCTGATAAATACAACTTTTTTAGTATTTTCATGGATTAGTAAGTCTTTGATTTTAAAATAACAAAAATTATATTGAATATGATCTATTAGAGTATAATTTAATCTGGGTTATTATTTCAAAGATAAGTGTCAGAAATCTTGCCTTTCAAGGTCGTCATTACCACATAATAAGGAATTCAAAGTCTTAGTTCTCTCCTTCCTGTTAACTTGCAGAATAGGTGCCCCAGCTACTGGACTTAGGTTGAATAGAATGATGCATCTAGCCAGAAGTGTAACTCATTCCTCAGTCTTTTTTGGTATACGGATCAGTGCAGGGGGCAAACTAGTAATTGGGAGCATTTGCACATTTATGCCATATTGAAGGTTTTATGTTATTTTATATCCACTAAATAAATGACACTGTAAACTGCCCTCTGTGGTAGAGCAATACTGTCATGTCGCTTTTTCCCTGCTTTTGCAGTCCAGTGGCCCATGCTGTTATCTCTTGGTTTGAACCTGAGTACTTGATGGAGCCCATCAACTGATTCGCTTGGCAAGGCAACCTGAGCGTGGGGGGAGGAAGCTGGGGCACACGTCACTTCCCCATTCCCACGTGCCCTGACATAAAGACCAGCACTTGACCGTATAATGGCTGGGTGCTTAAAATTGCATTATACTAAGATAGAAGGTGTCTTTTTAGAAGTGTCTTAAAATTCCCTGTCTAAGCTCATAGAGAGAGCATTCAGAACATATGTGCAGCAGCTC